CGCTGGCGGTTGCCATCGGACGCCGTCGAAGATTTACGGTCTCCCGGTGACGTGGATAAGCGCCGGCAAAGGTCGCATCGCGGGCCGGCTGTCCGCGGGAACGGCGGCCTGTCCTGTGATACCGGCTGTCCGCGACGGTGAATGGATCGACCCGGTATACGGTAATGGCCACACGGCTATCCATCCGGACGTGGAAAGGTAACACGAGTCTCCATCCCTCCGGCGCGGTGTTTCGTGTGGGTACTTACAAGACGTCTTCGCGTGTTTACCTGGCTCGTAGCCTGAATCCCAAAAATAGCCTAGCAGCCCATTAGAGATGACGGCTCTGGCAATTAGTGGGAGGTAGGATGACATAAATACAAACAAATAAATAAAACAAAGTTATAAAAACCATCACTATAGCGACAAGTAAGAAGAAGGGCAGCCTCAGGTCAGGATTTGTAGTTTGTACATATACCTAACACTCAGTGGCGTATTGAATGTACGTATACCTCAACTTCAGTCCTCCCTTTATGCACATCTTATTAATGGCGCAATGGATCAAACATGTCCATGTTTTTCATGGAATTTTTCGAAATTAATTTTCTGTTCAATAAAAAGTAATGAAATAGAGAAGGCGTTATGCAAATGGTTCATTGAATGGTTCAATGGTTCACAAATGGTTCATTGAATGACATTAACCGTTTCCACGACGGGCTATCCGGCGAGTGCACCTAATTTGACCAAATCTGCACCTTATCTCTTTTACAGCAAATATCTTTATTTTATGAATTTATTTCAGTGTTTTAATCGATGATACTCTCTGATAATATGACAAGGCAGGCATATAAGCAATTAGTGCAACCCTAGCTGATAGCTACTAAGAGACACACTGAACCTAATTTGACCAAATCAGCACCTAATCTGCACCAAATGTGCACCAAATGTGTACCAGATGGCCGTCGTGAAAACGACTATTGGCGGCCTTTCTTGCTTTCCGGTACTGCATTACCCTGAAAGCGCTCCAGCCCTTTGCCTAAAGTCTAGAACCCCGATTTTAGGCTGGTAAACGGTTTCTTTCCCCGTATATAATATACCTGACCCAAAATATGCGGCCATCGGAACGAGTGGGGATCAAAGTGCTTCTACAAATCTTAACAGAGCCGCAACGGGCATTATTAGGTACTCGCAATGGGAAGGGGGCATGCAAACAGGCTCACCCTGCGACCCAGTCCCGTGGGAGACCGACCCGGTCCAACCCTGCAGGCTGCGAGGACGCTGGGCGCCCATTCAGGTGTGACGCACACACACATACCTACCCATATACTTAGAGCAGCTAGTTAGAGCGGAGCCGTAACCAACCGACACACACGCGCAGTCGGACGCCGTCGCCAGCCATTGTGGCAGCCTCGGCTACCCGAAAATAAGCTTCTCATTTCCCGAACAAACAGCGCACTGAAACAACGTCTTTGGTTGGAAATTCTATGGAGAACACAAGTTAGTTTTGCATTGAGCTGCAATATGCATTTTAGAAAGGACAATACGGCATTCGAAATAACAACGCATATAAGACAGCATACGGGAAAGCATTCATGTTTACCTGAGTCCATATGTCAAACGCTTGTCAAATAAAGCCGATATGGTAACTGCCAAACGCCAAACGGTTTTCAGCATCAGCCACATTTGAAAAATATAATTTAATGTTTATCTCTTTTATTGAAGCTTGAAAGGTCCTCGGATTTCACCGAGGATAGGTAAACGGTTGAACATCCACTCAGAGGGAAAACGGTCAAAGTTGACATTTATACGAAAAAGTTTTTTTTTACTGCAGTAACTCCTGAAACAATCTTGTACGGTAGTGAAACTACCGACATCGTGTTGCCCTTGTTCAGCCACGTCGAATGAACTAAAATCTGGCGATAAAGGGTCAACCTGAAATTTTGACCTAAAGAACTAAACTTTTGACGACTGAACTGACCGAAAAAGTAAGGTTACATATCATTCGAGCCGTCTTACGTCTTGTTGAGACGAGCCGATTTGGGACGTTCAGTCATCGGTCTGACATGCTTATTGCTTATTTTGCTTAAATCAAAACGTTGTTGTCGAAAATCTGGTGGAAGCAGTTCATATGAATTTAAGTAACTTTAGGTGTAAGTATAAGGTGGGGTAAAGGCCGAAGAATGATTTTTCGATTCATTTAATGTGAAAGACGGAAAACCAAGTTCAGTTTTGTTTTGGTTTTAAGTTAGGTCTGCATCAAGCGACAGCTCGTCGGCGAAGCTGGCAGTCAGCTCTCCTACCCTCTCTCTCTCTCTCTCTCTCTCTCTCTCTCTCTCTCTCTCTCTCTCTCTCTCTCTCTCTCTCTCTCTCTCTCTCTCTCTCTCTCTCTCTCTCTCTCTCTCTCGTCCCTAGTAATATTTGCTGCGAGTATTTAGGCTAATAACCAGTGAACCACACACAATGACCGTGCTGATATATGACCCATGCAGTGGCAGACATCAGCATACGACCCACCGGCTCCCTTTCAAACTATCGAGTGTCCAGTGACCGTCCGGCCCCGTCAACCACGTCCAGTGACCGTCCGGCCCCGCCACCCATGTCCAGTGACCCCTTCCTTCTCCAGCTGTCCAGTGACCCACCGGCTCTCTCCCTGTCCAACTGTCAGGTAACTCCCTCCCTGCCTCTCTAACTAGTGTCCAGTGACCCACCAGCTCCCTCACTCTTTTTTTTTTAAATAAATTTAGTCCAAACCTTTTGCTAGGAAGGATTCACAAGGACAGAGCCACCGCTAAGCGAAGCTTGTTGCGACGACCCTGCCCTCTACCCTCCGATCGCGCCATTCCAGTTCTATGGCAGAATTTAGAGTCCAAAGTTTAACCCGCGCCCTGCTGGGGGGTGTTTGAACACCCCCCCTTGTGGTTTTTCGCGAATATCTCAAAAACGGCGGCGCGGAGCGCCGCCGTTTTTGGTACACCTTACCATACATCAATTCTACACATGTTGTGAAAATTTCAGACCAAGGTCATTCAAGGTCAGGTCACCAGGTCACTTGAAGTGACCTCACCTCATAAAAACTTTCAATGTCTGTCATAGCTACACCGAGTGACCGATCGCTTTGAAACTTTCAGCGATTGCTAAGAGCAATAGCATGTACAAAATGTATATCTCAGAATTTTGATATCGATGACCTAAGGTCAGGTCAATTTTGCGACCTCCCCATTATAAGTCAATGGGAGAAAATTGAAATGCGCCTCTTTTGGATGAAAGACATTATAAACACTCCCAAACACCGAATTACAAGTGGTTTAGACACACTGAACTTGAAAATGGTGTCCGTGACCCTTGTTTATGCCCTGAGGTCATCTTAGGTCACGAATGGTATCTAACAGTTTTTCGCAAATAACTTTTGATAGAGGCATGCTAGAGCGATGAAAACGCCTTAGATGTGTTCAGCTCGACGATACGGATCGACTGATATGCAACATGACCCTTTCCGGTCAGGTCATGACCTTGACCTGAGGTCAAATTTTCAAGTTGACCTTTCAAGGTCAATTCATAGTTCATTCGATGCGTCTTGACGAGAGGAACACGATGCCGGTAAAAGTAAGCTCGTACAAGGCTTGGGTCAAAAGTTATTGCAGAAAAACTGTTTTCGAAAAAATCGGCTATTTTTGCAGTTTTTGCCCCCTGCAGGCAAAACCGTTGACGTTAGGTCAAATCTGAGAGAATTACTCAGAAAGGGCGTTAATAGGGCTATCGAATGCGCTTTTCCGCGGCGCTGTAGCTCTATTGGTTCTCGAGTTATGCGTTGGCTTCTTGGAAATTTTCGACATTCGACCTGGAAATCGGCGAAATTTTGCCTTCAATGACCTCTGGTGACCTGACCTTTGACCGGACCAAAAAATTGACCGAAGTGATTTCGTCATTATTTTTTACGCTCTTTCGAACGCCGCCTTCCGCGTATCGCTACGTGGCCCAGGAGCCGAGTTACAAGGGGGGGTGTTCAAACACCCCCCCCCCCAGCAGGGCGTGGAAATCCAGGACCCCCAGCAGGGCGCGGGTTAACGTGCGCACATTGCCGCGCACGGCCGGTCCCCTCACTGACTTCGCCTGGCTACGGCCTGCCACCAACCGCAACCATACCTGTCAGGAGGCATATAAATGTCAAACGCCCGTCGCGCTTCGAACGCGGACTGTTGTAACCGGGAACGCGTGCTCTCACCACGCGGAGTCCAACGCTCTACCAACTGAGCTACGGGACCGGACTCTCCGCTGTCCAGTGACCCATCGGCTCCCAATCCCCCCCCCCCTGTCCAGTGACACACCGGTTCACCCTCACTCTCCCCCGTCCAGTGTCCAGTGACCCATCGGCTCCCTCCATCTCCAACTGTCCAGTGGCCCACCGGCTCCCTCCCTCTCTAACTGTCCAGTGGCCCATCGGCTCCCTCCCTCTCCAACTGTCCCCTGACCGCCACTGCACGGGTCGGTCGGTGACCTACCGACACTGCTCTGACACCGATTGCCTCAGGCGACAGACGGCGACCGGGCACCGAACAACCGACGACACGACCGTGGATTCCGGAGATACCGACCCGTCACTCAGCGATGTGGTTATATGGGAGAGGGGAGCATCCCCAATACTGAAACGCAATTTAAGGATTTTTAAGCAGGCGGTCAATATCATTTGTCAGTTGTGGAGAGGAGTTTCGTACCTATTGGGTGGCCGAACGAAAAATGTTGAGAATGCGAGTCAGACTGTGTGCCATGGAAGAGGGACGCAAAAGCGTCCCACTATATACGCATGGGTCCCTGTTTATAGTTTACAATTTGGTGGAGTAACGAATTCGAGAAATCGCAACGATTTTTATCACCCTTGGCCTTGACCAGATAAAATAGCATTTGGAGCCATTCGCAGTACACGCTAGTTATGCGTGCAGGAATGTGTCTCATATTACATACAAGGTAAAATGTTAGCAATTGCCTAACTCGAAACTGTATATGGGAGAGCAGCTCTGACAAAATTGCAGCCTTATGCATTTATTGATGCTACATCGTTGTTTATAACGCATCTCAATGGGTACTTTTCCAAATTGCCAACAAACAGGTCATTTTAACAATAAAAATAATAATCGACCACAGGCCGAGCACAAACATAATTCGGCTATATGCGTTAGTTGACAGCCAAACACAACATTTCCCTGAAAACCAAACGAATCAAGTGCCTTATTCAGACGAATATAAAGCAGCATAGCAAGCTCTTGCGACAGCACACATAATGAATACACAGTTCAAACACATTTCGAGCGCAGTAACCATACACTGAATGCACGCCTACATGAAGAGATCCGCCAAGAACTCGTCAAACTCTTCGTCTCTGGTCTTTTCCTCTTCCACAACAGCGGGCTGTTTCCATATGTCATCCCCCTGCGGTGTGACCGAGTCCTTGGCACCACTGATACTGGGTGGGGCACGGTCTGAGGGGCCCGCCTCGGGCCCGTCATCTTGTTTATCACTGGCCACCTTGTGTGACTTTTTGTCCTTTTTGGATTTCTTTTTCGTATAAACTTTCGCCTTCCTTCTTTGTTTTGAATGGTTGAGCTTACGGGAGCACTCGGGACAAAGACGCAGTTTGACGAGACAGTTTTTCTGTTCGCCGTGTTCCGCGTACGAGAAGTTGACTTCCCAGGAGGTGAGCGACTCTTTGGCGGAACAGTGCTTACTACCGCATGTGAACTGACCTTTGCCCGCTACCACCTCCTTTTCGGTCCGCCAGCGCATGGCGACCCGGTTCAGTTTGTAGTAGGTCAGGTCACAGATGCAGTACTCGCGGTAGAGTTTGTCGTAGTAGCGTTTGGCCAGGCGGCGCTCCCACGAGTCGGTGGCGTCCTCTGTCGTCCACACGAACCGGTGCTGCTCGCGGAGCACGTCATAGTCATTGCGGTCGCGGCTGGTGTCCCGCTGGAGCGCCGCCGTGGCGCCCGGGTGGTACAGGTGGTAGTTGTTGATGAGCTCCTTGTGCCGGTCGTAGGCGTTCAGCGCCAGGTAGTGCAGCCGGCGCACGCGGCCCTCGTGTTTGGCACGCTCCTCGGAGAACTGGGCGCCCTCCGGCCGGCCGGCTGGCGGGCGGCGCGGCTTCTCGGCGAGGTCCCTGCGGCGCCGGTGCCGCGCCTCCACCTCACTGTCACCCTCAAACGCCGACTCATACTCGTTAGACATGCTTGCTGAACCATGTGCTGACCTTGCACAAAAACTATAGCATCAGATCAGCTGAAGAAACAGCTCACTAGTAGTGTTGAAGCATCCTGAAAGAGTAAATTGGAACATTATTAATTTGGAAAAAATCAGATAGATATCTTATAGCTCAGACACTTTGACAGCTAAAACATCAGCTGTTATAAGTTATAAGGCATTAATTTGTAAAAACATTACCTACCAATATATTTTTTTTTTTTACTAAAATAGGAATTATGAAAGATAGCTGCTACATTTCAAATGGCTTGCATTGAATCACTTATACACAACATAAGATGTATATCTGCAGAAGGAATAATAAATAATTGGTCAAAGCAATGTAAAAGTTTAGCATTAAGCATCATGTGAATGTGAAATTCAGTGTGCGTGTGTGCTCACAGGGTAGGTACATAACAGTCACAAGCACAAGACTCTGTAAGTGTTATCTTGAAATTTAGATTGCATAATGCAAGCACAGCTGTTCAAATGATAGAAAATATGACAGGATTGAAATGAGCTACTTTAACATACAAATGAAAAAACTGTAAGCATTCAATTCTGCTGATTTAAAAAGTCAACTAATGATTTAATTGAAGTGGATAAACAAGTGAAAGCCACTGTTTCATTCAAAGTTGCAGCTGTCAACTTCTGGCTTGGCCGCACAGTGCTTTTTTAACCCTCGCCGGCCGAGGGGGGGGGGGGCGGGTGCCGCCCCCCCCATAGGGTTTTTTCGCGATAGCTCCGAACACGCTGGCGATAGAGAGCTGAAACTTGGCATACCTGACCTTTGATCCAAGCCGCATCTTTTGACACCAACCGCATTTTTGGGTCAGGTCAGGTCACTGACCTATGACGTCATAAGTGAACCTCTGCACGGTCTTCAGATGTCGCAACTTCGCAACGCCCTCACTGCCAGAGGAGATGTCACAGGGCAATGAAACTTGCAGGATCTAGTATCCATTATGAGTCTCACAACTTGTATATCTCGGATTTTTCCTAAAGGTCATATGAGGTCAGGTCATTTTCGTGACCTCACCATTATAAGTCAATGGGGAAATATTCAAACTGCTATTCTGGCGCCGGGAACGATCTCCAACTATCTCAAGCACACAGAATCGTGATTTGATGCACTCCTTGCAAGGTTAGATGCGTCACTTTTGCAATGTTGACCTTCCGTGACGTCATTTATGACGTCATCAAGGTCATATTAGTTTTTCGTCAATAACTCCCGATCAAATTGAGCAAGCGAGTCGAGAAAGCCACCAATGGACTCACGAAGACCTGCCGAATTGAATGATATGCGACATGACCTCTTTCGACCAACTTCGTGACCTGGGGGTGCTGACCTGACCTTGACCTAAGGTCAACACCCTAAGTTGACCTGACCCGAACAAAAAGTATATCATTCGACGCGCCTGAGCGAGGCGAACACGATGCTGCCAAAATCGCGGCTCTGCGGCCGTTTTTTGCGAAGTTATTCACCAAAAACTGAACCGTACCCTGGGGCACTTAACCTGACCTCAGAGGTCACCGGTTGACCTAGGACCTTAAAATCGGGTACCAATCTCTGCGTCTCGTAACGGCGCACACGCTCGTTTTTTCCGCGACGCGCTAGCTCCACCAGGGGCGAAACGGCGAGGGGGGGGTCGTACCCGCCCCCCCCCCCCCTCGGCCGGCGCGTATGTAGAAAACCAATAGGTCCGGCGAGGGTTAACAGTGCCCCGTAAAACAATGAAAACATGTGAACTGATCAAACCTGTCTTGAATTGGTTGGTTTTGGGTTAAGCACCACATCCAGTGGACCAAGGCGCTAACTGGAACTCTCACGCTGTTCCGAGCGGTCAGGTAGCGACTGCCACGTGCATCGCCCAGAAATCGAACCCGAATGGCCGAATGGTATATACTGCATTGGGCCTAATCTAGAGGCAAGTAACTTACCCCTAGACCGGAATGCTCCCCCTGTCTTGAATTGAAAATTAATGCAGTGGCTACACTATGCATTTTCTGCGTGCGTTTTTTGCGAGTTTGCGTGATTTGCGGAATATTGTTCTAGAAAGAAACAACATTTCGTTTTTGTTATATGTTTTTCATATAAACTTTTAATTAAAATAAACGGTTTATTAACTTTTATATAAACAGTTAAATTAATAATAAACATTTTTCAAGAACGATATTACGCAAAACCCGCAAACACGCAAAAACGCACGCACAAAACGCATAGGTAGTGCAGCCAGGCCTTAATGCTTTATAGGTACTAACTCACTGTAAACCCACAGGGCACAGGCCGTAACTTATGTAAAATTAAGTTATGGTAATAAATCTTCAAACCATTTTACGTAATGTAAAATGGTTTGAAGATTCATTCAGCCCAAATACCATAGCAGAGGACAACAATCCAATTCACCCCATCCCAATTCACATTTCAATTTGCGCCAGTTTTGTATACATTTGATTTTACATAAACATTCTTTTCCGTTTCAAACGGTGTTACATGACGTAACAAAATTTTTACAAGGTATTTGATTTTGGGGCAATTAGATTCAATAAAGTCATCTGTTGGTTAAACATACTAACTTTTTTCGTGTAGTCATCATAATTTGCAAAATTTCATCCACTATTGTTCGAATTTGAATAGAAACGGCTTCCTTATCAACTTGTTTTGCTACTTTTACTAATGACGTAAGATGAAAATACATTACATAACTGGAACCGTTCTTTCCGGTTCCAGCCAAGGGAATTTATTGAATAATGTGTGAGAGGAGCTGAGCCGCAATTCGCAAAGCCACATAAGGCAAGAATAATTCAGAATTTACGGTCTTGTAAGCATTTTGAGTTTACCTTCTGTGATATTGAGTGAAGAGTCATGCAGTTTTTGTTAAGAAAAGGTAAGTTCTGTTTTTCAGTGTGGCTTACCTTGACCCAATCCTTGACCTACCCTATTTTATTCCCACAAATTCCAAACATTGACATGCTCATTGCTCCTAAATCTAAAAATAGGTAGGCTTGTATTCATTTTGTATATTTCTTCCTTTAGCCTATTTGATTTATTTAATTAACTCAATTCAAATTCATAGTTATCTCTTGACTCTTCTGCTCTTCTCGATAAGCACATTTAGTTATTTGACTTGTATGCACATTGCGACGAGTGCGGGATTTACCCACGAGTGCCTTTCTTAAAGCCTGTTAGCGTAAGGTAAGGTATGGAAACTCTTATACACCACTGGTGATATGTTAACTTGTGCAATTGAATTTAACAGCAATATTTACTAGCCTTTGATTGAGGAATTTTGGGTTTTCAATTTGTATATAATTTCTGGGCAATTAAGACATTTTGATGATGAATATAGGCTAGCTAGGTGGACTGAGGAAGTGCCAAATGGACTCAAATAAAGCTTGATAATTAACTGAAAATACCATTGAGTTAGGTTATTGGGAATCATGACTGGATTGTAAGGTCAGGGCAAACAAGGACAGCCTGTATTGTGATTGTCTTTGTGGTCCTGGAATTTAGGGCCACTGAGTGTTTCAGAACAGACAACCACAAAGCAGGACCAAATCAGGATGTAAATTCAGCTTGAGACAGTGGCTGCCTGGTTGTGTCTGTGTGGAAATCACTTTATAACTGCTTTCATGGATCCTTTATAAGCATGAAGTTACATGCATAAGAATGCATCCAGCAAGGAAGGCACAATTATTTATTTCATAATTCATATGTATAATAATTGGTATTATGTATATGAAATTCTTAACCCGCGCCCCAGTGGCGGTCTCAGCCAACTTCGCCCTAGTGAGGGGGGGCATATGTTACCACCCACCTCTAACTAAAAAACTAAGAGGGCTAGAAAGACGCGGTAAAAAGCAGTTGATAGCTCTCAATGCGTACGTTTGAAAGTATGTCGATCATTTTTCACCTTAGAGCAATATTGGGGTCACAAGAGGTCATCAAAGGTCAAAATTTGCCAATTGTCATTATATTTTTCAGAAAACATGCCGCTATCTCAGGAACTATGGTAGCTAGAAAAACGCATGGAACAGCAAACGATAGCTTGTGAACTCTTCTTTTGAAAAGGTCAAAATCAATATTGACCTCAGGTCAACGGTTTAGCCTCCAGAGGGCAGAAACTCCAAAAATAGCTGTTTTTACGAAAAGTGTTTTTCGACAATAACTTTCGACTACAAAAAGCCACGACATTTCTATTGCCGGAATCGTGTTCCTCTCGCCGAGACGCGTCGAATGAACTATAATTTGACCTTGAAAGGTCAACTTGAAAATTTGACCTCAGGTCAAGGTCATGACCTGACCGGAAAAGGTCATGTTACATATCAGTCGATGCGTCTCAACAAGACAAACACAATGAGACCATCCCCAGCGTTCTATCTCGTTCCAATCGCGAGTTATTGGCAAAAAACTGTTTGTAGCCTCAAGTGACCTCGGATGACCTGTCTAGAGGCTATCAGTAAAAATGACACCTTGGTCATCACGAGTGGACTAAATCATTGTGTGTCTGCAATATTTGGACTGTTCCGATGCGTAAACACGGATCTAGAGGCTTTTTCATTTTTCTCCATTGACTTGTAATGGTAAGGTCACGCCACTGACCTGACCTTAGGTCACGGATATAAAAAATCCGAGATATACAAATTGTAGGCGCCCATAACAGCATGCAATCCTACAAGTTTAAAACCTTTCTGACAAACACTGCAGGCTGGACATGATTGCAAACTTTTTTTTAGGCTTGGTCAGTTAACTTGACCTGGTGACCTGACCTGACATGACCTGGGGTCAAAAATTTCACACATTGTCCAAAATTGATGTACCAAAAGCTACCCCAAGCGGCGCGGCGCTACGCGCCGCGGTTTTTTATTCACACGCAAAAAACGCGACAGGGTGGTAACATATGCCCCCCCCCCCCCCCCCACTGGGGCGAAGGTTAATAGCCAACAGTGTTAAGCACCTGTTTTTAATATTTTATCTGTCTACTTCGCAATGTCCCATTGGTTGCTGAATGTTCAGCGTATGATTGTACTACTGCTGGACACTAGGAGGCGCCCTGGCGATGGGCAGCACGGTCCAGGCGAGCCGCTGGGTGCAGCCGGCGCGGCGCCACGGTGCGCTGGCGGCCGCGCGTGCTCTGCTCGCCGCTCAGCTGGACGAGATTCGGGAGGCGGGGACATGGAAAACAGAGCGGGTTATCACCACGCGCCAGGACGCCAGCATCGGCGTGGAGGGCCGCTCCGACCGCGTGCTCAACTTCTGCGCCAACAACTACCTGGGCCTCTCCGTAAGGCGTGCTTGGAGACTCCTCCCCGTGTGTGCCTCTCTGCAACCGGCACGGATTGATTTCTGCACCGGCGACCGCATGGCCATAGCGGCTCACCTGCGAACGTGCACGCATTTTTAGTTTCACCGCATGCGTGTGCATTGTGATAACTTTTTGTATTAGTCCTTTTTTGCTTTCTGCATTGCTATGAGTTGTGTGTTTATGTGTATTATATTTTATTTTGGACATCAGCACTGAACAGTGAACAGTGAACACCGTTTTTTTTTTTTTACTGAAGCATGCGATTTAGATTAAGACTAGGGTTACCCGCGTGCTCCGCAATGCGAGGAAGGGTAATGTTTGACCCGTGGGTGTTAGGTTGGTCCTGTGTCGTTTCGGTTGGTATCCATTTCGTTCGATTGCTTTATGACGGCCAAACATTTTGTAATTAAACAAAAAAGATACATCGCATCGAGGTTCCCGTGTCGTATTATCATGCGTTCCACTTTAGAATTAGTCGAAAACTGGCGTGAAGTCTTCTGAGGGCCATCGATGAATTTCGCTAAAAATGACAATGTAATGGTTTGGAACATTTACATTTTTAAGAATACTTTTGATCATCATGCAAAAATGAAGACTGAACCTTGGACAGAATTGAATGCTCTTTCCAACGGTGCCATTTTTAATTGCCAGAGATATCAGATCATTGAGGAAAATCCGTGTGAATAATAAAGTAGCGAAACATCGACAAACAACATTTTCTCCAGCGATTTGTACCACCTTGGCGTCGATAAATTAGTTATTCACAATTTTCCCATGAAAGGCGGTACATTTCTCTTGCCAACAGGCGTTGTTACAACTCGCTCCGCTTAGCAGTCACAGAAAAATAAAATTAATTCCAAAATCCCTCAAAAACCGCAATTTTTCAAATAAAAGTGCCCTCTCCGGTGCACGTGGCGCGTGCTATCCTCTGCATTGCACACCATTCAATAGCCCGTTCAATTCTGTACACGATGCTGTTTTCCCCGTGCCGGTCGGACCCCTGGTCACCAAGATATTGCACGGGAACTGGACCCGTGTCGGCCAAAATTAGCCGTTTTCGCCCGATTTCGCACGCCGATTTATACATGTAAAGTCTATGACGCGAATTTGCACTTTTTGAGCACGCGCCACGCGCTCCCTATCGACCCGATCGAGCTGAGACCCCTCAAAGGCACGTCGCGCATCCTTGATCTATAAGTTGTGCAAATTTCACCGGGCTAGGTGCAACGGTCTGGCCTGTAGTCCACGCAAAGCACCACCAAGTTGGGACCTCGGTAACGGACAGACGCACCCTCCTCAAATAGTAATATAGACAAGCGGCTGCGCCACTTGCTTTGCTGCGTGGTAGGAAAAAATTGCAGCACCAGCCAATTTGCTTTTGAATGGTGTTTGATTCATGTCGATGTGTCCTCTAGAAGCATAGATATGGACGGAAATGTGAAGAGAATTTATAAAGAGCTGTTCTGAGGGCGTTGTTGGATGAAATTTGGGTGATATGGGGTCAAGACGGGTCAAAGGGGTCAGCCCCGGTCACTTTGGGTCAGGCCAGGTCACATAGGTCACCTCTCGTCCGCTGGGATCAGCCCGGGCCACTGTTCTGCTTTTGCCTCCACCACTACCCCTACCCCTACCACTACCCCTACCCCTACCCCTACCACTACCCCTACCACTACCCCTACCACTACCACTACATCTACCCCTACCCCTACCACTACTACTACCCATACTCCTACCCCTACCACTACCCCTACCACTACCCCTACCACTACCCCTACTACTACCCCTACTACTACCCCTACCACTACCCCTACCCCTACTACTACTCCTACCACTACCCTTACCCCTACTACTACTCCTACCACTACCCCTACCCCTACCACTACCACTACACTACCCCTACCACTACCCCTACCACTACCCTACCCCTACCAACACCGCTGGGTCATGTCAGGTCACAGAATAATTGGATCCAATCAGTACTAAAATATCAGACCTAAAGTGTTCTCAGCCCTGCCCCTATTCGTGCCATTCCATTACCCTTACTCGATTTTGTCGGAAATGGCGCTTTGTGGCAAATGTGGCGCATTGCGGCAAATGTGGCGCATCTGCACCTGTTGGTTGAGCATGCATCCTGGCACCAAATTGTACCCTTATCGGGCCATATTTGACAAAACTGTGCGATTTGCGGCAAAAATGGCGCCTTGTGACCAATGTGACGCATTGCGGCAAACGCGGTGCGTTTTTATACTTGTATCACAAACTGCTCCCATTGAAAGAAAATCAACACATTCTCTCGCCACTTTTTATTCAAATTAAAAACTTGCCCATCCGCCAATGCGAGGCACCCGCCACCGATCGGCATGCATTTAGTCCACAAAGTTTGTCGACCCCGGCTCTCAATGAAGATATAAGAACCAATCAAAATTTCATAGGCGTTCTTCCGGCGCGCGCCACGTGCCAACCGTGCACCCCAGCGAGCCGAAACCTAGAAAAGGCGCTGACCCGCTCTGTCACCTATAAGGTGTGCAAATTTCAACCCCCTACGATATACCGTCTGCCCTGTAGGCCGGCTAAATTGAACCCACTACACGTCGTGGCGGACAGACAAACAAACAGACAGATGGATCCTGTTCAAATAGTAAGATAGATGTGGACATTCCCTGAAATGAAAGACAACACAAACCTTACGTCGTCAGGCTGCAGATGACCCGTCTTCCACAACACATAAGACTTGCTTGATGTAATGTAGGCATTAGGCAATCGTAGCTGCTAATGCTACATACGGAGAAGTTGTCAATGTCTCACGTACGAGTGCGTTTTACCTGGAAGGGGATATTACGATGTGTTTCATTTGTTGCTGCTGCCAGGCGTCAGTCGGCAGGCACAATTTATGATCAGGGTCTATAACTCGGATTAAACCGTGGTTTCGACTGCTTCTTCACGCCTAATGCAAAATATGACAATATGTGTATTGTGTAGCATATAAGTGTCACAATGTTCGCAGAATGCCGCCATCGTAACACGTGTTTCTTAGCATCAGCCTGCTTTGATAGAAATGCGCCACATCGTTCGTACCATGGATGCCCTTTCGCGTGATTTTTGGAACGATATCATGTTTTTGCTGCACGTTTTTGATTCTCATGTTGTGTGTCTTGTGTCGTGATCGTTGCAATGTTGCATGCTTACTGTATAGTTACGGCCTAGATGTCATGCATTTTAAATTTGTTTTTACTCCATGCTTTCATCATTCAGCTTGTAAGGAACTTAAGATAAGCGCTGTACTAACTCTCCCCGCCATTGCTAGCCTAACAAGTAGAATGCGTACTCGTGGACTTCGCATATTTCCCTTCTGTTTTGTCAGCGTCGTGTTTTTTTTTTTTTTTTTTGGCAGTCGAATATATTCGAGGGGACACATGCCTTTTATCAACATGTTCTCGCGGTTGGATTTTTTTTTCCATTAGGCTTATTATGTATGTATCTTTTCTTTTTTCCTAAATATATTCCACAAATGGAGGTTGGGAGTTGGGGGGGGGGGGGGAGAGATTGCCACTTAAATGCTTACCTACTGGTTCCATAATTCATGACTTGTGTGAGTAGGCCGGAAACATGTCGATAGCCGAGCGCACTCGGTTGCTGATAGCTGTCGGGATTTTAAGGCGATACCGTATCGGGAAGTATGGGATTTGTCAGTCAGGCTGAGCCAGGGTGTGATGGAGGCGTGTTTGCTGATGCATTACTGTGTGAGGTGGCACCACTCATAGGTCGACTGTGGGGCGGGGCCTGGCTGATATGGTGGGAGCCTGGTCGGAAGGGCGGGTCGGTGGTACGACTGCGGCCCGCCGTTCCGATCGGGCGGATTGTAGAGACCCAACTTGCACACTGCACAGTTCAGCGGACACTCGTTGTACCGCACAGTGGACAATCTTTTGGACAGGGTTATGGATACCTAAGCACAACGCTGCCATACGTTATAGCAGTGTCATACATAGTTCGTTCTCCCTAAGCCTGACACAGGGGGCAGGTTAAGTAGTCGCTGACACAGCCGTGTCATCTAACTCCCCATCTCGCCTCGGACACACCTCCGCCGCAGTCGGTCCGAGTGGTCAGTTTGTGGTTCCGTGTAACCCTGTCTGACGGCCGTGCCAACCCGACCGTTGGCTGCGGTCCCAGTACTGTTGGCCAGGGTCATGGGCGCTCTGCTAGCGTCATCAGTGGTGGAGATACCCTCCCCCACTTCCCTCGTGTGGTCCCCGTAATAATCATCCGTAATCATATCGTGTGACAAGACCATAGGTGTTCGCATTCTGTTGTATCTGTATGTTAAACCACAAAACGTTAATTTCACGTTTGTGCCTTTTAATCGTCGGTTTAAAACGACTCAATTATTGGGGTATCTTTTTTGGTAAGGTATAGCGATTATCATGTTGGTTAAATTGGAAATATTTTCATTTTGGGTTCTCTCTCTCTCTCTCTCTCTCTCTCTCTCTCTCTCTCTCTCTCTCTCTCTCTCTCTCTCTCTCTCTCTCTCTCTCTCTCTCTCTCCCCTCTCTCTCTCTCTCTCTCTCTCTCTCTCTCTCTCTCTCTCTCTCTCTCTCTCTCTCTCTCTCTCTCTCGTTCCCACTGTCTCGTTCTCCCTCTATCGCTTTTTAAGCCCTTGTAACTGATTGCTCATTTTCCAGCTAGGCATCTACTGACAGTGCGGTGATACAGTAAGCATGCTTTAAGAGCCTTCAAGTGTTCGGACTAAAAGGCCGGTGATTATTTCTACGGAACCTTACCCGATGTTTGTTCAACAAGCTGGTGACTTCACTCGCTATTTCCGTGGCGTCGAGTGGTGGGCAGATTAGCCTTTAGGCTCCCACTTGTAGTTGAGGCCCTGTGAAAGCCCTCATTCAACGACGTGGACCGCTTTCATCGGCCTGCTATCGATGAGCCGGGAGTGATCTCATCCTACCCCCGTCCATCCATTTGTAGGATCACTTGAAGAATATCAAGGCGCTATCAATACGTGGCTTGTCTCCATTTGCGCCATGTAATAGAAGATTAAATTATTGAAAGAGAGATTGTTTGGAGTACGCGTCAGTGGCTGGTACCAGGTACTGGAATATTCATTTGGCATTTACCAGATGAAGAGTCGAGCCGCTTTGATGAGAGGATTTATCGGGGCGACGATACACAATATATAGATACCCACACACCTTCAATATCAGTTATCAGTATCCGTCAGAAACTCTGTTGGCTCGACCCCTGACCTGCCCTCCGCCGACCCCGCTGCAGAGTCACCCGGATGTGGTCCAGGCGGGGAAGGACGCGCTCGACGTATACGGAGCCGGTCTCAGCTCCGTCCGCTTCATCTGTGGCACGCAGGACATCCACAAGGTGAGCACGGGGCAGAAGGATGTTCGTGAGAAGGATTTGAGGACGCATGAGAAGGATTTGACGACGCTCACTCATTGAGCAATGATTGAGATGAATCTGCAGACACAATACATCATTTTCAAAGTGTGGAGACGGATGACAGTATGTCGGGACCCGGAGGGTGTCAGATATCGTTGATAACGCTAAGCGAGCTTGGGTACACTCGGGGGTAGATTGATGTTCCACCACTCCCTACCCATCGGGCGATCCCATGGCTCAGCACTGGCTGCTGTCAGTATTGCCTGCCCTCAGCACTGCTCAGCACTGCCTGCCAGTGCCAGTGCTGCCACTGGCAACAGCCAGTGCTGAGCCATGGGAGCCCGTTGGTTAGGGAGTGGTAGAACATCAATTTGCCCCCGAGTGTACCTACTTGTTACTTATTGTTTATCGTTATGAGTGAAAATGTGGGACGATAAATGACGTGTGAATATAACTGATAATGAACGCCTTCAGTCTAAAAACTACCCAGCCACGATAAGTCGATGGTAAGAACGTTAATAGCTTTGCAGTTTGCAGAGACGCTGAATGTCGCACCTTGCACCAGATAGTATGTATCACCAATGTCCAACACCAGTGGTATGTCTAGCTGAGTCACCCTTGCACTTCACGTTGCGAGCAAACAACCATAAGATTGAACAAATAAAAGATAAGAAGGCTTTGAAAGGCGCCGTGGATGTGCACCCTCCTATGAAGCTCGTCATATATTTACACTTCAATGCATTATTTGGTTAGATTCTCTTCATATGATTCATCTTTGTAGGAGCTGGAGCGGAAGATATCCGAGTTTCACGGCCGTGAGGACGCCATTTTGTACGCCAGCTGTTTCGACGCCAACGCCGGCCTGTTTGAGGTGCTGCTCACCCCAGAGGATGCCGTACTCTCTGACGAGCTCAACCACGCCTCCATCATCGACGGCATCCGGCTGTGCAAGGCGCAGAAGCACCGCTACAAGCACAAGGACATGAAGGGTGAGCCGGATGAGCCTACTGGGGGGCCGGCATGGACGAATCAGCAATGTCAGCTTGTAGCTATTTCCTGGTGTAAAACAGACACGAACTTAGACTCGCTCACCGCTGTCTGGCCGTGGCCTGTCCACTTTCTCCAGAGCCCACGGGTCCCGTTGTCGCCCAGACCTGTAGGCTGTGCCGGAGACTGTCTCAGATTGTTGTCCCGTGTACCCAGACTTGTACCAGCGAGGTAGAGACTGACTCGCCACTGTTCCGTTTACCCAACCTTTTACCATAGCCTGACCTACCGCTCTCCCTTTGCGCCACAGACCTGGAGGCGAAGCTGCGCGACTCGCAGTCGGCCCGGATGCGTCTGATCGTGACTGACGGCGTGTTCAGCATGGACGGGAACGTGTGCCCGCTGCCAGAGATTGTGGACCTGGCGCGCCGCTACAACGCGCTCGTCTTCCTGGACGAGTGTCACGCCACCGGATTCTTCGGCGCCACCGGCAGGTGGGTTTAGCCATACTTATATACCGGAAGGAAGAGGGTCAAGGGTTCTTTTATTATATGTTAACATTGCCTTGCTTTAGGCAGAAACGTCCATTACCCAATTTTTTTCAAGCCCCGTTCCCGTCGAAGGCGATTAAACAAGTTAGCAAACATTGTTTCCCACCGACCTGGGTGATCAATAGCTCGGCTTATGAGCTTGACCGGATGTCCTATGTTCTGATCGGTCGCCCCGTTCCCATTGCCTGACTGGCTTTCCTCCCCGTCTGCTCTCAGAGGCACTGAGGAGCATTTCGGTATGACCGGCTCTGTGGACATCATCAACACGACGCTGGGGAAGGCGCTGGGCGGCGCCGCCGGCGGCTACACGACCGGACCGCGCGAGCTGACGGAGCTGCTGCGGCAGCGGTCGCGACCCTACCTGTTCTCCAACTCGCTGCCGCCGCCGGTGGTCGCCTGTGCCAGCAAGGTAGGGGTGACGGCGGACTGGCTGACGTGAAATTCACCAGGGAGCGGCACTTGAGAATAGGTACATCAAGTTACACTGCACCAAAAGTCCAGAAGGAATTGCTCATGCTCCACCGGTCAAGGAGATTGACATAGAAAGCCAGTATTTATCTAAGGGAGCTGCCACTTGTGCTCACTTTCAGAATGACGATAAAATGTTCTTGAAGGTATCGGAGTTCATGAGAGTAGTATCATATGTAAGATGTGATAGACGCTATCAGTGTCACGCGCTTCCGTCTTAACGACGGACTTATGCCCCCCCCTCCCCCTCTGGTGATGTGTCTCAAAATGACATCACCCCCCCCCCCTCCGACAGGTGTTTGATATTCTGATGGCCTCCTCGGAGCTGACGGGACGCGTGGCGCACAACACGCGCCGGTTCCGACAACAGATGACGGCCGCCGGCTTCACGGTGGCCGGCGACGACCACCCGATCGCGCCCGTCATGCTCGGAGACGCCCGGCTGGCCACCGACATGGCCGACGCCATGCTCGGTACGTGGGCCGCCATCTTGATGTGCGGTCCGTTGGCTACTTCGGATTTGTATTCTTATGTCCGTTGGTAATAGTGGGGAGAGTCTGATTTCGGAATTGATCTGACACCGTGAGAATATTTTATAGATATCGTTTTGAATAATCTAAAATTTGTTAGCATAATGAAATTGCCGATTTATTCATTGGAAGCATAGTTGCGCCGCGTGTAGCCCCTTGACCGTAGCTGAGTCTCTAACCGTCCCACCTCCCTCCCCAGAGCGCGGTATTTACGTGATCGGGTTCAGTTTCCCGGTGGTGCCGCGCGGCAAAGCCAGAATTCGGGTACAGCTCTCCGCCTGCCACTCGGACGCGGACGTGGATCGAGCCGTGGCCGCCTTCGTGGAGGTCGGACGCCAGTTTAAAGTGGTACCCTAAACCACGGCAGCGGCGGCAAGGTTTGAACTGCAGTGGGCTGACTGGGGGAGCTATACTGCCGTGAGCTGAGGGTCTGCCCTTTACTACAGCTGTTGTCAGAAAGATAGGCTTAGGTACCGCGTTAGCCGATCGGGCAGAGGGTAGTTGGCGGTTGCACGGGTCTGGGGGTTATTCCGGTCCCACTGTTGTAACATTTCTGTCCAGATTTTGGCTGGGACAGAGGGGTTATTAATTGACGTGTGCGTTCCCCCTGTTAACCCGCGCCCTGGTGGGGTCTGTTTATAACGCGACCTGGTGGGGGGGGGGGGCTATTTTTTGCCCCCCCTCGTATCTCCGAAACTACTGGACGGATCCGCGAAATTCAAACGGCGTTCGAAAGGCCTGTCAAATTTGTCGAGGGAAACCAAATTTCATTGACCTCGGGGTCACCGATGACGTCACAGGTCAGGTCAAAGATGAAATGTTTCACCGTTCACGGGTCATCTAGGGAATGCGCTATGACACCGAAGAAAACGCATTTTGTCGAGAATCAGCGATAGGGCGTCAGTTGCCTAGTACATATGTTGCTATAAGAGGTCACTGACATTACCGGTCAGGTCACAGGTCAGGTCACCAAGGGTCACAGGTCAGGTCACATGAACCTAACTTTAGGTACTAAGGTTGTGCGATGCATGTTTTATGGTCAATTTTTCATTTCCAACTCAATGGTGTTGGTTATAAGACTATCAGGTACGGCTTAGGTCACTTTCTGGTGAAGGTCAGGTCAAGGTCAGGTAAAAAAAGGTCAAATTTTAAAGTTGATAGTTTTGCATAAAATGGGTATCGATTCGATGCAGCTCGTCACGGGGAGTCTAATGGTGGTCTTTGTTTTGCGCTACGGGGTCTAGAATTGCTAAAAATTGAGTTTGAAAATTTGACGTCATCAATTTTGAACTGTTTTTTCGCTATAACTTCGCCAAAAAAAGAGGTATCAATCTCAAATTTGGTATGTGGATAGAAGGAGGTAGGGACTATCACATATATTCCGGTTTTTGCGAAATTCAATTTTTTTTTTAGATTTTTCGGCTATTATATTCAAAAAATCTATTTTTTGATTTTTGGGGTTCAAAATCCAAAAATTTCAAAAATCCGAGATAGCAGTTTTGTACCCCTGTCAATTCTACAGCTTTTATGTCTTAATCGTTTTTCTGTATTTGCAAAGCTATAGGCCTGACAGCTCTTCCCGCGAAACCCTTTTTTTGGTCGAAAACGGCAGAACATGACGTCACTCTGACGTCATTTCCGGCCAACCTATCATAGCCTTTGGAAAAAATTTTTGGTCACAATGTGTAAAATTGATGTCCGGGAGGGTACTGAAAGTTTGGTGACGATCGGCGCAGCGGTTCTGGAGATATATTGAAAAGTCTGGAGGGGGGGCAAAAAATAGCCCCCCCCCACCAGGGCGCGGGTTAAAGGGCTGTGTACTGCACTATTTTGTGGGCGATAGCTTTGGAGGATGTGTGCATTGTTTGTCTACGGTCTTTCAAAAGACGTTTAATTTGTGTTAGGTGGTCTTACGTTTAAACATACAACAGTCTAGTTTTGTTTTCTTCTGTTTCTCGCTTGCAGTGGAAAAGTGCCATTATACTTTTACTTCAGGATTGTGTAGAGAACCATCTGGTAAATAGACTCAGATGTAAAAGTTGCGCACTTCAGCTTGCTGACAACGCAATAAACTTATAGGCTGATGAAATAAATATTTTGTCAAAGACGTCTATATGTTTTCTTGGGTCATTAAATCGATTCAGTGCGTTCAGCCAGAGATCAACCGGAGCGATTGGTCTTGCAGTCGAGAGAACATCGCTGTTGGATCCAATGCAACAGACATGATGAACTCGAAGCTATATTGAACAATTTAGAGTTACGAATTCACGTTCATGACATAAGTCATACCTCGAGTGATAAATAGTTCCAAATATGTAAAAATGGTTTGGGTATATGGGTTTATATAATTGCTATAAAATGTACATTGTGTACATGTTTATCAGATTTATGGACTACGTACACTGGATTAGATTTTTTTCCGCATCCATTCTCGGGTAAGCTTTGAGCGGCGACAGAAGTCAAGGTGCTGAGCAATCACCGTCGCCAAGTGCCACTGGCTGTGTGCGGATATTTCGCAGTAGGCGTGCCATAAGACGCCAGATTGGCGCTATCCGGGTCAAAGGCTCTGAGAGAGCAAACATGTATGTCTGGGTAGCACGCACTCGGCGCGGGGCGGTGGCGGACGCGGGCGGGGGGCGGATGTTTGACCAGCTATCGGTGTCGATAGGGCCGCTAGCACGGCTGGGCGCCGCCCTGAACCGCCATTCTCTGACCTGGTGCCCGACGGAATGGCAGGTGAGTTCTGCCGTCTGCCGCACCGGCCCGGCGACCCACGGTGACGGGTCGCCACCGGCCGGCGACCCGCGGCCGACTGGTCGCCATCGGCCGGCGACCCCCGTGGCGACCGGTCACTTCTCACCATCTCACCCCACGGTGAAAACGAACCAATTAACCTTTTGTCATTTCCGGTTCAATAATATATAAAGGACAGCCTAAATATAAATGCAGTAATCGCAAAGCTTCCAATTTTATTTCTGAAAAGCGTTTCGGCCAAACTATGCACGTCTCATTTGCAATGTGGGCTAAAATGTAAAAGGGGCAAAGTAGCTCCGACATATGTGTTTCTGAGTCATGGCCGATTGCTCCCTTTCCAAGTTCGCCTCCAAGCTGTGTGATACCGTTGATAAGTTATTTTTTAGATCTTCAAGCCATTTTTACGATAATTTAACGTCACACTTTATAAGAATTATTGAAAACCTTACATTTTTGAAACTGTCATTCCTCATAATTTACGAGCTATAGTCCTTTTCAGGAAATGTTCGACTCGCGAAATTTTATTGCATTACATTGTGTCCGCTTTCTGGCTATCAGTTCTTCGATAACTTTCGCTTGAAATATGGTTTAGCGATCAACACACCTTGAATGTATGCAGCTCAACAATCAGGATCGATTGAAATATCAAATGTTACTTTAAAAGTTCATATAATTAGATAAATAAAAAAGTTGACCTTTTCCTCGACATCAAAAATGTAAAAAGCCGAATAATATATTTTAAAAAACGGTGAGCTTTCGGCCACTGGCCTTTATCAAACCAACGTGATAACAATGTTAAAAGACGATCCTGTGAATAATCTGTCTGCCATTTTTCAAAAACCGAAGATCGTGATATTTTAGGAAAGGCGCTACTCATAAGGGCAAACTATTTGATAGACCGATTGTCTACATAGTGTCCGATGTACGTAACATACATAATATACAATTGTACACGTAGCTGTCAAACACACATCGTATGGAAGGTATGTACACTAACGCCGATGTACATCACACACATAACAAAATAATATACACATACACATATTAATCGATTGAGTTGAAAAGGCTACACGCTCACAAGATACACATGATACAGGCGCTTACATGATTGGCCACGACGAAAGATTTGAGTTTATGTGCGGGCGGTTTGCTTTTATAAGTAGGGATTCTGCGATTTTTCTGTCCGGGTGGTCTTTGGAGCGATAAAGGACGCGAACCTGAAGAGGAAGGGATGATTTGTTTAGCGGCGCGCCGGGGTGGTGCTCACGGAAGTGGTCTCCCATCGGGGTCCCTTCGGATGCGCTCAAGGCGTCTCGTAAATGTTCGTTAAATCTTAGTCGAACAGGTCGTTTTGTCTCGCCAATATATGTGCCGTCGTCACCCTTTCCTTCACACAACTTACAATTTAGCCTGTAGACGACGTTCTTCTGTGTACAATCACCTGAAAAATCTGATTTACACATGTTGCATCGTGGGCCTCCAGGGCAGATAGGTTTAGATAGTGATGATCTAACCAGTTTGTTTCGTAGCTTTTGGGGGTTCCTCCATGCTATCCTGACAGCTAAGCCAGATTTCCTAACTTTACTTTGAATTTTGCATAGCAGTTCTTCATCTATGTACGGTAAACATAAGAAGCCATCTTCGCCCTTGTCTCGACTAACTTTACCCATCCTGGATCTGGACCCTTGCTGTTTGACCTCCCACAAGAGCCTTCTAAGAACTTTCTCTGGGTACCCATTTTGAACCAACAATGTCCAAATCTTGTCTATACTCGCCCTCTCTTTAGCACTGCTCGAAGAGTTCCTGATCGCTCGCCGAAACTGACTACGGACTATGTTTTGTTTAGTAGACTTCGGGTGGGCTGATTTATAGTGCAGGATGATCCCTGAGTTCGTAGGTTTTATGTAAAGTTCCGTTTCAATCTTCGTAACCTGGCCCTGGGTCACTACTGTCACTAAGGTATCTAGGAAGGCCACACCCGACTTTGTACCGGAATGCTCCATGGTAAAGCGGAGTGTCGGATGAAGCGAGTTTAAATGCGACAGAAAATCTACTAAAGCCTGCTCTCCATAGGTCCACACGCCTGCGTAATCGTCAATGTACCGAACCAAAAAGGACGGTTTCTGATCCAGGTTTTCTAACGCTTTGCGCTCAAAACGATCCAGAAAGAGAATGGCTATACGAAGAATGGCTATGGCTATACGAAGATTGAAACGGAACTTTACATAAAACCTACGAACTCAGGGATCATCCTGCACTATAAATCAGCCCACCCGAAGTCTACTAAACAAAACATAGTCCGTAGTCAGTTTCGGCGAGCGATCAGGAACTCTTCGAGCAGTGCTAAAGAGAGGGCGAGTATAGACAAGATTTGGACATTGTTGGTTCAAAATGGGTACCCAGAGAAAGTTCTTAGAAGGCTCTTGTGGGAGGTCAAACAGCAAGGGTCCAGATCCAGGATGGGTAAAGTTAGTCGAGACAAGGGCGAAGATGGCTTCTTATGTTTACCGTACATAGATGAAGAACTGCTATGCAAAATTCAAAGTAAAGTTAGGAAATCTGGCTTAGCTGTCAGGATAGCATGGAGGAACCCCCAAAAGCTACGAAACAAACTGGTTAGATCATCACTATCTAAACCTATCTGCCCTGGAGGCCCACGATGCAACATGTGTAAATCAGATTTTTCAGGTGATTGTACACAGAAGAACGTCGTCTACAGGCTAAATTGTAAGTTGTGTGAAGGAAAGGGTGACGACGGCACATATATTGGCGAGACAAAACGACCTGTTCGACTAAGATTTAACGAACATTTACGAGACGCCTTGAGCGCATCCGAAGGGACCCCGATGGGAGACCACTTCCGTGAGCACCACCCCGGCGCGCCGCTAAACAAATCATCCCTTCCTCTTCAGGTTCGCGTCCTTTATCGCTCCAAAGACCACCCGGACAGAAAAATCGCAGAATCCCTACTTATAAAAGCAAACCGCCCGCACATAAACTCAAATCTTTCGTCGTGGCCAATCATGTAAGCGCCTGTATCATGTGTATCTTGTGAGCGTGTAGCCTTTTCAACTCAATCGATTAATATGTGTATGTGTATATTATTTTGTTATGTGTGTGATGTACATCGGCGTTAGTGTACATACCTTCCATACGATGTGTGTTTGACAGCTACGTGTACAATTGTATATTATGTATGTTACGTACATCGGACACTATGTAGACAATCGGTCTATCAAATAGTTTGCCCTTATGAGTAGCGCCTTTCCTAAAATATCACGATCTTCGGTTTTTGAAAAATGGCAGACAGATTATTCACAGGATCGTCTTTTAACATTGTTATCACGTTGGTTTGATAAAGGCCAGTGGCCGAAAGCTCACCGTTTTTTAAAATATATTATTCGGCTTTTTACATTTTTGATGTCGAGGAAAAGGTCAACTTTTTTATTTATCTAATTATATTCAATATGTTCCTCGCTCGAGCACTTAGTAATATTACCAATTTAAAAGTTCACCTTTAAATGTAAAATCATATTCCTTCGACCTGCTACGACGACAAGGAGCATGATTTTGAGCGAAATAAATCCCAGAAGTTGCAAATATCATCCAATTGAAGGAACGTTTCCGGCAAAAACGTCTACTTTGATGTGTGTTTTTTTTTCGGCCATTTAAAGGCGCCCACGGACCCTAACCGTGTTCTAAAATCAAATGTTGTTACTTGTTAGCAAATAAGCTTTCAAAGATTTACCGAATGAGTTTTCTCGAGGCGCCATAGCACTATTAAATAATGCGAGTACCTAATTCGTAAAAAAACGAAACCGGGAAAATATCATTTTGGATGATCAATGGTAACCTGAACATTGACAGTGTCCTAAAATGAACAAGGTACATCCTATGTTATTTTTGACCACCACCTTTCGACAGCCGCTCACAGCATGAAGTTACGTGGCTCAAAAGCGGGCTTATTTGTTTGGGGGGGGGGCGTTTAAATCTCTGGCTCAAATAGCCTCCAACAGGGCATCCAGGAGTCGGACGGGGCGCGGGCTAACCAATAACCACGACTGCATTGGCTTGCCATCAGGCTCTCCTATCCTATCTGAGCGTGCACCGCCGGTCCCACCGCAGAGCTCTAAACATGGGGAACGAACACGGAAAAGAGATCGACCACGACGACCACGATGGCGAATACGCCCACTTCAGCCGCATCACGCGGCGCGAGGTGCGCTTCCACGTGCGCGCCTCGTGCACGGCCTCCGTGGCGCTCACCTCGGCCGACCACGTGACCGACGATCTGTACGAGGTGCACTTTGGCTCGGACGGCAACACGCGCTGTATAATCAGGTTAGAGACGACGATATCGTAGTACGCCTCGGAATCCGGCTGCTGCTGGAATAATCTGAGCCGTTTAATTTCATATTCTATTCCTACTAGATCTGAATTTATTTTGTGACAGCTTATTTCGTGCAAATATGCTAAGCACTTCGCAACTTCCGATAGGTATACAACTGTAGGCACGTTTGAGATGTTTCATATAGCTACTTTTTATTCAGTCTAGCTAAAACTACGCTTAGCAGACCGTAGGTCTGAAGCCTCGCGGACGGCGGACAGCGCCACCTTGCGACTGACCTGCCACCTGTCGGACGGCAGCCGAAACGGTGACGAGGTGGCGTCGTGCGACACGCCCGACATTCTGGACGGCGACGAGCCGCGCGGCTTCTGGATCCGCTGGAAGCCGCGCCACGGCCGCCTGCTGGTGGGCCGCGACGGCGAGCGGCTGCCGTTCATGATGCACATGGAGGAGCCGCTGCTGCCCATCTCGCACTACGCCATCCGAGTGGAGGCCGGCGGCAGCGGCAGCTGGCGCTTCCCGGACGAGGACGAGTTCAGCACGTCCTCCTCCTCCTCCTCGAGCGATGATGAGGACGAGGAGATGCGTGCCGAGACCAAGGCTAACTCAGGTCAGCGGCAGCGAGCGAGCGAGCGCGGCGGTGGGACTGGCGGCGCGGCCACTCGCGGGCGAGACTTGCAGACACTCCCAGACGCGCAGACACGCAGTCAGCGGACAGACGACAAATCAATGGCACTCGTACAGATCGCGGGCGGGTGGTCGGCCGGTGGTCCCATCGCTGCGCGCCGCCGCGGTCGGCACTCAATCGTGCACCCTTACCAAACATAGCATGCGAATCAGTCATCGATGTTTTATGGAACAGAAGATCACAAGTTGCCAGCAACAGTTTTAGACAACATTCAGTTAAATATCTCCCGTCTTGACAATGTCAACCTGCATCTCCAATAAGCCCGAACAGGCTGCTATCATCCCCTCATGGCGTGACCTGGTGGCTTGACCTAACTAACACCCTGACCCCCCCCCGAACCCCTCAGAGCCACGGTTCCGTAACCCGGCGCGCTGGAAGTGGGCCCGTGACGGCCATGTTCCCGGCCACGGTGTCGTCTCCGGCGAGGGAAACGAGGGCATCGAGTACGTGGGCCGCGCCTACCACGAGGGCGCCCTCTGCATCGGGCGTATTGTGCACGACCACAAGACCTGCTACATTCCCTACTATGGCGAGGAGGTGGCCGTTGACACCTACCAGGTGAGAAGGAGAGGAGAGAGAGAGAGAGAGAGAGAGAGAGAGAGAGAGAGAGAGAGAGAGAGAGAGAGAGAGGGGGGGGGATGTAGTCGTGGGGAAAAAGATGTTAGTGGATAGGAGGCGGGGAAGAAGGAACGGGTAGGTGTAGAGAGAAAAAAGGAAATGGTTAGGTAGGGAGAGCGGGTTCGGAGAAGTAAAGAAGAAGAGGTAAAGGGAGAGACAGATACGGTGAGATGGAGAGGTAAGAGAGGAATACATGTTGAATGCAAAGGAACGGGAGGAGCCTTCGGGTGGGAGTAGCCTAATGTTTATTGGTTGGGGATTTTCAGTTTCGATAAAACTGAGTCGCTTTACGCTCATCATAAAATGGTTTCACGGTAATAACACGTATCAAGGGTTCAATGGGGCTAAGGGCGTATCGGTGCGTTTTATTCTACACTTGATAAGCCACTGTGTGAACTGCGAGTGTCTGATTTTGAGCGTCATAAACCGCACGCGAACCGTTTCCGTAGTTAGCTTACTCTTTTGCCGCTAGATGTCACTAGTGTAAGCGCCTGCAGATAGGCTGTGCCGCAGGGCTCGGTGATACTGTGCCGCAATACTCGACAGGCGGGCTGCACGCATAACGTTCTGTAGACTTTCCGACTGGAGTCGCCAAGTGTCAGAGTCGTGAGCAGTGTTGTTACTGTTGTTCATTTTGTCCCTGCTGCTTCCTCCAGGCTCTGGTGAAGACTAACGAGCGTCTGGAGTGGGTGGATGCCAGCAACGGAGAGGTGCCGCGAGGCGCTCTCCAGGGCGGCCACAATAGCGATGGCCACCCCCTGTTCGTGGCACGCGCCGAGCACGACGGCAACTGGTGCTGCGGCCACGTGAGTTGATCCGCGACCACTGTGCTGTATCCGGATCGTATTCACCGTATCCACCAGTGGGATGACATACAATACCCAATGAACGGTGGTAAATTTATCGATGTCTTAGCTGACGAGTATATCTGTATAACTGTATATGGGCACTGGCGGAGTTTTGGGCGAGGGGATCAGACAGAACTTTCGGAAGTAGTTATTTCTTCGGGGATACGAAACACATTCCACCTTTAGCGGTATAATCATGAATTCCCCTTTATCCTCTATTGTGTGGGCGACGTCCCTCACGCTCACTTGTGATCGCGTCGTGTGCGATGTGCGTACTCCGCATGTGTGTAAGTAAAGGAGCTGTGTGTGACTACCTGGGCGTGTCTAGCCCCCCCCTAGCTTCGACACACAGCTGCTTGCAAAACGGCGTGCGTGTCTCATTTTGCATATCTACCTGTGTCTACGCATCTATTCGTATTTTGCCTGCATTTTTAGGCATTCTAACCGCCTATACCTATCCCTGTGGCCCGATATACTAGTAGGACAGTCAACTATAAATAAACGGTTCTTTGCCTCTCGACCCTTCGTTACCCCGCTGAGAAAAGCATATCCTGGTATTCCTCTCGAAACCATGGATAATCCTCTAACTATATCTCTGTGGGTGCTCTCTCCGCAGACATTGAAGTCTGTGTATGTAGGTACGTACATGCTTGTTTGTGTTCGTTTGTGGTTGTTTGAGACCACGGCCGCAAGTAGTCTGTGGTTATTTCCGGAACGGTAAACAAACATACCCTCTCACTGACCGTCTGGCGTGTGTGTGCCGCAGCTGAACCCCGGCCTGGACTCTGTCTACATTCCGTACGGCGGCGAGGAGCATCAGCACCATCAGTACCAGGTGCTCTGCGCCACCACCATCAACCTGCGCTGAACACCGCGCTCTGAGCTCGTCACGTGAGCCGGCGCGGCCGACGTGATGTCACGGCCCAGACAGCGGTGACGTCACGGCCACGAAGGAGTGCTACTGTCGGACAGGTTCCGTGCCGACCTCTCACTGTATTTACGTCAAGCCGAACGGGGCGAATACATGACCGGACATAACATGATGGCGGTGAATCAGTGACGGTTCTAATAAAGGTGACGTAATAAAACTGTTAATCGACAAAGGAGAAATACAAATATACATGAAATAACGGGTGCATGCAATAACATGTACAATGACTTTCACTCAGATGTTGCATTATGCAAAGACTTCGGCTGCAATGCAACTTGCCTTGGTTCACTTTTCAGACACGATATTCAAATAAGTGTTCGCATGAATATTCATATGAATATCCAGCTTGATTGTGCTGAACAAAGAGAAACGACATGGACTGTGGAGGCAAATATGAGCACCCCTGAATCCCAAACCCCATGATAAACATTCTCACTACGCACGAGGGCATACGAATCAGTGTGCCGGTGGAAATTGGGTCAGGACAGATTGGCCTTCTTTCAGTGGAATAGGAATGAGAGGGCGCCACCCTGAAAAGTGGGCTGCCGACCCTCGTGCACATCACGAGGGTCAATTGCTAAAATGGCCAATGGCCATGGGTGATACTGTAAGCATGTTCGCCTTTGCAGCCCCCCGGTGTGACTTGGCGTAGGTCATGATTTTTTGTTCTGCCTCCGAAGTCTAGCGACCAAAGTCCCCGGGCACGGACCTGTTATCGAGTCACGCGGACAGACATCCTCTCCCTCGGAGGGCGACGGATACGGCCAGTCTCTCGGGCGTTATCGGTGCGGGAGCACATCCTGTGACGGAACCGCTCGCCTCTTATCCGCCCAGACCCTGGCTCCGGTCCGCGGTTCATGGCCATTTGATTGGAGTGTACGTACACTGATATGAATTGTTCCATTTTATTGTTTTACGAGGAAATGAATTTGTTAAAAACGGGATGATCGATCACAATTTGACTTCGTCTACTAGCCATAGCGAAATATGTTGCTCTTAGAAACCATCAGAGATTGATAGGTACTCATTGCGTTTCCAAACACGACTAGGTATCTATGGCCCATTTTCAACATTGCGCCTATAACATCGTATCAGTGGAAATGGGACAGCTTTGGAACATACGTCATGAGACGCGATTGGGGTAGCGGACAGGTCTATAACTTCATTCCATGGCCCTACTTGACACCAACTGAAAAAATAACACGAACCCAATTTAATCCTTTAAACTTCCGCGTCACCGTTCTTTGAGATGAATTAAAAAAAAAACGAACGGGGAACCTTATTTCGCGCTGATAAAAAACGGATAGGTACAGAAAAACGTAAAAACCACAATATCGTAAAAAAAAAACATCGTAAACAGGACCTAGCACCGGCATATGAGGATAAAACAGACTACAATGTTCATCTTGTATTTCATGGAAAGAATTAGCATAATCCACAGGTTCTCGACTTAAAATATATCTTGCTTAGACCTACAGCAACAACTCTCATGGCCTTGAGATTGTTTTCCATCAATGTAATAAGCTTGCGACACTGGACATTTAAATGATGTTAAACAGCTCAACTTTTGGTGAATAAGCATTCAGCACTCAGCAGCCTAACCATTTGGGTCATGTAGCCAATACCTTTTTCACATTCAGAACACAGCTGCACAGACATTAACACTGAATACTAATTGCTACATGCATCATCAACCTTGGAATATTACCCATCATTCATTTCGACCAGGTAGGATCACATACAAGTGCGAAAGATAAGTAATCACAAGAATCAAGAATCACACCTTCACATGAAACTAAACTAAGTCGTACCCTCAAAATGTGTAGCAAACATCGTTTCTTAAGACGACGTGAATATGAACTAACGACAAAAATGTTACCCATGGAGAAGTGGTTCAAAATTAAACGTTCCTGACAGCAACTTAGGACATGCTTCGATCGTTAGCGAAGTAAGGAAGTCAACATCCAACTCCATCTAAGGCAAAGCTAACTATATTTACAGCCTCTTTTAGCCACAGCGTATATCTGATAACGCATGAGTTGACAAGCCATTAATACAAAGATAGGGCGCATACACGCATATTCCGTGGATTGGACGGTACCTTTTCAAACCTGTAAAATCCCAAGTTGTCGTTCAGCGCGAAACATCACACACAACGTGACTTAAGTCACTTTCTTTACTGGCACATTTAGGCAAAGGCAATGCGACACGTAATAAGCCTTCGTCAAAATTTCCCAAACAAAACCACCATCCTCACCCCGTAACTCGTTCAATTATTAAGACGATTACGTATATCTCGAGAAGTAGCTCATTACCCTGTGCATTTGCACAATGATTGGCACAGACACGACAATTAAAACTCCTCCGCATATGCGTAAAAGTTCCATCAGCAGCCGTATCAACGTATTTAGAACATTCCCACGCCGTCGCTCTCCTTATTTTGTGCCTTTTCGAAGAACATGAAATCGATGAGAAAAGCGGCACCGAGCATGGTAGCCTTCATCTTGACATCCAGATCCATGGGGAAGCTGACGCCGAAGTTGTCGGCGTCTGTGAACGCCTCCTTGGCCAAGCCGGTCCACTGCTTGGTGATTTTGCCGACCTTCTCTCGTCCGTCAGCTGAGAGCACGTCGAAGGAGACGTCGCCGCACAGCGACCACGTGCAGATGGGACCCTCGATCTTGAGCACCGTGTTGCCGCCCTCGTTCATGATGTCGAACGACGGCGCGCAGATGGACCAGTTTTGTTTGATGATGCCGAGCAGAGAGTGTCCCGAGAGCACCTCCATCTCCTGCAGACAGCAGGGGAAGCAGCAGCTCTGGCAGCGCAGCGGACGATCCAGGTGGATCACCTCGCGCTGATTGTGATCCATGATCTTCATGTCAAACGGCCGCATGGGGCCGCAGCAGTTGCGCGTGCAACAGTCGGTATCTTCGGCGGCAAAGTATACTTTCTGACCGAGGCTGTTCTTGACCGTATACTTATTGGCCGTCTCGAAGCCGGTGAAGGCCTCCAGCATCTCAAACTTCTGGTGGATCAGCAGCTGGTCGATCTGGGTCAGGTACTCGAGGCCTGGCGGACAGTTGGGAGGGCCTGACGGGTGGGGCATCAGGCCGCCCATCTGACCCGGCTGCTCCACCGTCGGCTGTGGGTAGCCGCCAGGCTGCGGGTAGCCACCCGGCTGTGGGTAGCCACCCGGCTGCGGGTAGCCCCCAGGCTGTGGGTAGCCGCCAGGCTGCGGATAGCCCCCGGGTTGCGGGTAGCCCCCCGGCTGAGGGTAGCCGGGCTGACCACCCTGTTGCTGTCCGCCATACGGGTTGTACGACATGACGCCTCACTTCTCACTGAAATAAATACAGAGCGGCGTGTAAGCCAAATGGCGTAGACATGAAAGAAATAGCGAGTGCAATGAGCTTAAGTGAGCTTCAAGCTTATCTTTATGGTGTACCACAGCCTCAGAAACCAATTAAAACGTCCCTGTCCATTGATCTACACATCCTACGTGTAGACAGACTACACTGGGTTGATCACTGCCTGAAAGCCGTTCCCGCTGAGATATTAAGGTCAATACTCAATAACCGCGTCCTACTATCCAAGTCCTGATGTTCTGTGACATGTGTGGCTCGGGCAGTTGACATTCCGCATCCTCCAACGGCATAAAAGAGGTATGACACTGACAACCTCACATTTGACCTCTGGCTCTATCGCAACTAAAGCCCCCGGGGGAAAAACATTTACGATTGGCTGCTCTTCCAAAGGAAAGGAAGACAACGCCACACGGTAGCCCATTTATAGCAAACTTAGCTTGTAGCGGATAACTTACGACAAAATAAACGCTAAGAAAAAACTTATGACACCGAATGAATGCAGGCTTCTCTATCTAGACGGGTCGTAGGGTTTTAGTTTTGTTTGAAAAGATCGAGCTCACGGTTGACCTCAATTGACCTCAGATGACCTTGATGCATAGGTCACAGAACAGGTACGTACAGTATGTAGGCATCCGTAAGCGCTGATATCGAGCCCGGTACCCAAGTTTCCCAAACAACGGTGCTTAGACTCGGATTAGTTAAAAACGACTGGATTGAATAATAAAATAGCTCCTACGGCCTTAACCCGGCACCGCCTGGGCTATTTCCGTACCCACATCAGCCTGGGGGGGGGGGGGGGTCGGATCCGACCCCCCCTGTTATCTCGAGAACCAATGGTCGTATCGAGCCCCGCGAGGCGGCGTTCGAAAGGTCTCTACGAGACCTTCCCAAAGCACTCTTAAGATTTTAAGATTGAGGTCAACTTTCGGGTCAAGGTCAGGTCAAAGGTCAAATTCAGGGGTTTTGCATGATTAGGCTTACGGACAGCGGAATCGATAGCTGCTGCTCGAAACTCACCACAAATGACCTCAAAGACCTAGTGAAGGTACCATGTGCGTATAGGGGTCATACTAAGTACGGGTCAAGGTCAGGTCAGGTCACGAAAGGTCACGGTTTTCACTTTCTGCTACATGGGTGTGCGACACATGTTTTATGGCTCCGATGGTAATGGTTATATGTGACCCCAAGTCACTGTGCTGGTGATAAGTGTGCATTTAAAGCATAAAAAATCGTTTATACTAAACGAGGGCTGAGAAAAAAGGTCAATTTTTCAACTTTTTATTTTTGACATAAAAATGCACTTTTCTAGACGAGCTTTGTCCCAGGAATCTAGTGGTGCCATTTGTTTTCACATGCGATGTTCAGAAGTGCCTCTAATTCGCTAAAATGCTTATGACGTCACCATGCCCTATGCATGTTGGAGCTATTTTTTACAATTTGGGGGTCAAAAATCAAGATAGAAAGTTGAAATTTGGGACATCTAATGTTCTAATAGAGCTCTATAACATATATTCCGTTTTTTTGGAAATTCTCAAAATTTTGGATTTTATTAGCTGTTTTCCAAAAAATATAGTTTTTTGAACTTTTAGGGGTGAAAAACGCATTTTATGAAAAATCCGAGATAGCCATTTTAAAGAACTCGTTGAGCTGCGTCTTTTCATGTCCTTAATTTGCAATTTGCTCAAAACCTCGATTTTTGGCGATTTTTTAAACATTTACCATTTTTTGACTGAAAACGCCATGTAGTTACATCACTAAAATCGATATATCTCAGAAATTTTTGAAATTTTTTTCTTAAAAATTGCACAGGAGACGTCAAATTGATGGGGGAGAAGGTATGCGAAGTTTCAAGTTGATAGCGCAAGCGGTTCATGAGTTATTCAAGAAAAACGGAGGGGGGGGGGTCGGATCCGACCCCCCCCAGGCGGTCTCGGGTTAACATGACTGGCAGTTGATGATCTTGGCTATTGGCAGATCCAGGGAGGCGGTCTTGGACGCTGCGAGGGAGTGTACTTTCAGAAGTCTCCAGATAAAAAACGCATTTCGATTATTCATGCAATGCTTGGATAAAGTCTCACCAGACCTATCGTTTTTCTATATACCGAGCGCGTGGAGTAGGTAGGACCCCTTTGCCGTTTCGTCCCTTATTGAGCTACAGCCTCGCGGGAAAAGCGAACGTGTGCGCCGTTTAGCGTCGCAGTGACTGGTTGATACTCCTTATCAGGTCTCCGGTCAACCACTGACCTCTGAGGACCGGTCAAGTGCCCTAAGGTACGGGTACGGTTTTTGGGAAATAACTTCACCGAAATGGACGCAGAGCCGCGAGTTTGGCACCATCATATTCGTCATGCTCAGGTGTGTCGAATGATATGCTTTTTGCTTCGGTGCAGTCTATTAAAGGTGTTGACCTCAGGTCTAGGTCAGCTCAGAGCCACTCAGGCCTCGATGTTTGACGAATGATGTCGTACTTATTGCATACCATTCGATTCGGTAGGTCTTCCTGTGTCCATCAGTGGCTTTCCCGACTTGCTAGCCCAATGTGATAGAAGGGCGAAGGGACTATCACATGTATTCCATTTTTTTTTTTAAATTCGAAAAAAATGGGATTTTGTTTTGCATTTTTATAAAAAAAAAACATTTATTTTTTATTTTTTTGGGGGGGTTAAATCACGAAATTTTGAAAATCCGAGATAGCAGTTTGGTAGCGCCTTCTTTTGAGATTCTGCCCCCCCCCCGTCTAACTTCCGAACCGATGGTCGTAGAAAGACGGGGAAAACGGCAATCGAAAGCTATCAACAAGGCGGATCTTAACCCGGCAGGCGGTGGGCCTACCAGCCACCTTCCGCGCGGTGGGGGGGGGGGCACTTTTTTGCCCCCCCCCGTATCTCCGAAACTACTGGACGGATCCGGAAAAATCAAACGGCGTTCGATAGCCCTGTCAAATTTGTCGAGGGAAACCAAATTTCATTGACCTCGGGGTCACCGATGACGTCACAGGTCAGGTCAAAGATAAAATGTTTCACCGTTCACGGGGTTTCCAGGGAAAGCGCTATAACACCGAGTAAAACGCATTTTGTCGAAAATCAGCGATAAGGCGTCAGTTGTCTAGTACATATGTTGCTATTAGAGGTCACTGGTCATACCAGGTCAGGTCACAGGTCAGGTCACCAAAGGTCACCAAGGTCACCACATGAGCCCAACTTTACTAAGGTTATGCGATGCATGTTTTATGGCCAGTTTTTCATTTCCAACTCAATGGTGTTGGTTATAAGACCATCAGGTACGGTTAAGGTCACTTTCTGGTGGAGGTCAGGTCAAGGTCAGGTCAAGAAAAGGTCAAATTTCAAAGTTGATATTTTTGCATAAAATGGGTATCGATTCGATGCAGCTCGTCACGGGGAGTCTAATGGTGGTCTTTGTTTTGCGCTACGAAGTCTAGAATTGCTAAAAATTGAGTTTGAAAATTTGACGTCATCAATTTTGAACAGTTTTTTCGCTATAACTTGGCCAAAAAAAGAGGTATCGATCTCAAAGTTGGTATGTAGATAGAAGGCGGTAGGGGCTATCACATATATTCCGGTTTTTTCGAAATTCAAAAAACTTTTTGGATTTTTTGGCTATTATATTCAAAAAATCTATTTTTTGATTTTTGGGGGTCAAAATCCAAAAAATTCGAAAAACCGAAATAGCAGTTTTGTAGCCCTTTGAATTCCACACCTTTTATGTCTGAAACATTTTTCTGTATCTCTAAAGCTGTAGGCCTGACAGCTCTTCCCGCGAAACCTTTTTTTGGGTCGAAAATGGCAAAAATGACGTCACTCTGACGTCATTAGCGGCCAACCTATCATAGCCTTTGGAAAAAGTTTTGGTCACCATGTGCGCTAGCTGCTCCCGGGAGGGTACTGAAAGTTTGGTGACGATCGGCGCAGCGGTTCTCGAGATATATCGAAAAAACTAAAGGGGGCAAAAAAATGCCCCCCCCCACCGCCTGGAAGGTTAAGCGTTTAGAAGTTATTGGCGAAAAACGGGAGGGGGCAGATTCTGCCCCCCCCCCCCCAGCGGGCCGCGGGTTAACTGTAGCTTTTGTGAGCGTTTCAAGATTTCATGTTTTTTGCTCAATGTTGCTCGAACATGACCTCAGTTTGACCTCAATAACTCCTGACCTAAGGTGACCTAAGACTTGAAATTTTGTGAGAAGGTGTCAAATTGATGCCCGGGAAGGTACCGAAAATTTGGCGGCGCGCAGTACCGTCGATTTCTTCCTATTCAGAAAAAAAACCACAGCGGAGGGGCATATTGCCCCCCGCCCCCCCCCCCCCCCCAAGGGGCAGGGCAAGGGTTAAACCGCCAATTCCGGCTAAAAGAGGCTTGTTATGTGTTTTTATATCTACGCGGCTTAAGTGTAGTGCCAGGTGCCTCGGCCCTCGCGGGAGTAGGACGTCAGGAGGGCTGTTCGGTTGCGCAGCCAAAATGAAATATGCTGCAGCACGCATGCGCAGTGAGGACTTCGTCGCCCGTTAGTCCCGCCCACACCACTGCGTCACCGCCTGTGTGACGTCACCTACTGAAGCATGCTTCGTTTTCCTGCAGCACGAAATTCGGTGCTGCAGGAGGCGAAAGTGGCGCGGATTAAAGTTTACCGTCCGATATTTCTTATTGTAAGCGGTTTGTTTGCTGTTTTTTGGGTATCATTATCACTCTTTTCGGTGGCACATTGCTAATAACCACATTTGAACGCAATTTAACCTTTATTTGAGCGACAATCACCAGTCCACCCGCGCAACGGTTCGCCGCGTTTGAAATAGGCTGCAGCGACGCTCGTCCGCGGCGTGCCGGCGGAGAGTGGGCGGAGCCAGGCGGTTGACGTCACCCAAGTATGACGCACGCAGCACAGATCTATGCTGCAGGGACCCGGGCCCTGTTTCACCGGTGATAGCAGCAAGCTACTATCAAATTGCGCGAGCTGACGTAATGTGATGACGTCATACTGCTGACGTAATGGGCAATTCTGGCGCACGATTGCCGCAATATTGTTTTACGTCATCAGCTAAATGTTCGAAGTTAATGTCAAAATTTTTCCTAAACCCAACTTCTTTTAAATACATCATATTGAAAAAATATATATCAAAAATATATATACTATCATGACTGCGTAAACTCTTACTTTTAGGCTCATACGTCACTTAATGCCGCCGCCAAGGTCGCGGCAATCGTGCGCCGGAACTACCCATTACGACAACAGTATGGCGTCACGACATGACGTCAGCTCGCGAAACGTGATAGCAGCTTGCTGCTATCACCGGTGAAACAGGGCCCCGAACAGCCCTAGGGAGTAGGGTATGCCTCCGTTCTGGCGTCAGGCCCGTCTGGTGACGTCACCGATCAAAGTGGGCGGGCGGCCGCATCAGTGACGTCATATCGCAGGGACAGGCTTTATTGCAAGCCGTACGTGCGTCGCACAAGTGCACGTGACGTCAACACCGAGCAGACACTCCTACTATGCGCTCTGCAGACGTTGGGCCGACGCCAAACTGAAACTGGCACGCCGCGTCCCCTTCAACTTTCAACGCCCGGCCATTTTGCTTGCCGCTGATCGATTGATAACCACCCACCGAAATATGGCGCGGATCACCTCTGATATCTCCGTTTACACTGTGCAAACACCACACTGCACACGCACGTACCTGCAAGAGACCCGCGGCCAGAAACTCGCTGAACACTTCAAAGTCCACCAATCACGCAGCGACCGGGTCCACCGCCCCAACACTACTGCGTCGGAACAGTCCAGTGCGCATGCGCGTCCAGCCGAGTGAACGCCGCCGCCAACGCGGCGTGGCAGCAGCGCCTGACCGACGCGTCAGTACGACGCGCCGAGGGAAAGCGGGGCAGGCCAGGGCGAGTGGGGAAGGTCATGCATGGGACTGTGAGTCAGAGTCGTGCCCAGCGTCACAACTGATCTGATCTGTCGCATTTAATACCTAATCACGCACACGCTCAGTTAGTGACGTAAAGCGAGTCTGCTGACGCGCTTGTTACACTACGTGACCTCAGGCGTCTTAGTCTACGTCAGTCGTGATCGGCTCGCAGCCTATGCATTCACGGGGATGATAACAAGAATGAAGAAAACATTCCTTGAATGATGCGTGAGGTCATGACTCATAAGTGTGATTTATCAACATTTTTTGTTAAATAAATGCAATACGCTGGCGTAAGGTACGCCGTACACTAAGAAATTCGGTACAAAAATGTGAAGATGAATAAATAATAATCTCATAGGCGGCGGAACGGGGAGGGCACCGGGGCACCGTGCCCCCTTTGATTTTGGCATTTTAACATATGCTCTATATGGGCGTTGCATGGAAAGAATGGGACCAAAAGTGGCAGTGCCCCCCCCCCCCCCCCCTTAATTGAAGGTGTTCCGCCGCTACTGAATAATCTTCCATTTGTTCGATCGGTTACTACACTAACCTCGGCCAGCTTGCATATTACAAAGTCGATCACCTTTCGTAAATCGTTGCTATGCTATAGAATCTTTATACAATTGTTAACGAGAAGGTAAATGAAGCAAAGACGTTTTGTGAATCCTTGCTTTAGAATTGTGATTAAATCGTTAATTGTAAATCGTTAGTAACGAATCGTTAGTCGTTAGTAATAAATCGTTGGTAACGAATATATTGTAACGATTTACGATGAACGATTTTATAACGATTCTTGAGTAACGAATAACGATTTACTGAATACTGAAGGTCTTTGATGCGTTTACTTTCTCAACCTGCCTTATTTTATCGATCGGTATTATTTCTCATAGGTTGCGTCATTATATTATACCTAATTCATTAAACTAAATTTATAAGGAAAATGAATGATTTGTTGATGTGGCAATTGTGGCATGGACGAATATGTGCTTCATCGTTGTTCTTGACATTGAACGCCTGCTCATATATTGCACTTTGTACCTATCTAAATGAACTTGATGTGATCCAAAACCTGCAGTTCAAACAAAATTCACTCCTGGCTAGTGGCTACCTACCTAATAAAATATACCTATTGATTGTGTCTAAAAATTCGAACGACGAAGAATGCTGTAAAACTACCTTAACTACAACAAAATTATACCAACAAATCATATAATGCAGCATATTTAGTACCTACATCAAAAAATTTTTAATCATCGATCAAGGGTCACCTATAACTAGATGCCGGCAGCGCTCTTGCGTTGCCTTGGGCCAGAATTGGAGGAACGGTACTGAGGGCACACACCGGGCCAAACCACCGAAACCCAGACTGAGCTTGGACTGAGCTTGGACTGAACCTGAAACCAAACGAAACATCCCAAAAATGCTTCGAAGCACGTGAGATTGGTGCGGATATCTTCCTACAGTATGGTATGAATTAACTGCACGTGCATAGTTCATGTCCCAGGCACCCCAGTGCAGTCATTTTCATAACATCATGTAGCGTGTGTCTAGTTCTATCAGTGTACCGACTTTTGTGTCGCTAGATCGACGTTTCCCGGGATCAGAGGATCCCTAGTCAAAACCGTTATCCGCCCCCCGCACGCGCAGCTTGCACCCCTGGGATATTATCTCGCCGGAATGTTACGACTCAATGTATTCTTCTTATGACCTGCAAGTTTTGAACCAGTTAGAGCGGCCGTTTACCCTGCACAGGCGTGGCAACGCACGAAGGGGTGCAATCGGCTTGCACGTACCTAGCTCATGCACCACAGAGTTTAGCTCAACCAAATGTGCACTATTTTGGAGGCCTTGCCTGAGACTACCATTGAACCGATTTTGAGGTTGATAGCTCAAAATTTCTTTGAGCCAGAGGACCTCACGTCAAAACGGTTTTCCGCCCCCAGCACGTGCAGCCTGCACCCCTCGCAGACGGTGACCCCCCTGGAAACTGGTTCAAGGTGTTACCGATGTGTCTCGCCAGTGTGGCTTTGTCCGTGACCTCGGGTTGACCTGTAGCCTTGACAAAAAATTTCGTGTCACCGAAACTTTGAAGCGGAATAGCATGTGCCACGAAGCACTGAGCGAACCGAGGCCAGTACCAAAAGTTTACCTCGCCGGAGACGAGTCGAACGGTCCCACTTTCGTCCCGATCGGTCCACCCATTTTGACTCCAGGTCCAAAAAGGCTTGGACAAACTCACTCACATACTCACTCACATACTCACTCACAGACTCACATACTGACAAACAGGCTTGGCCGAACTTTTCTTCAGCGACCCACCAATGGGAATTTCCGGATGCAAAAGCATGCTATCGCATGCTTTTGATCCTCCAATTCTGGACTACACGAACCTATCAATACTTACGGTGTGCGCAAACACAGTTGATGGCCCCTGCGACCCCGGCTCCGTGCTACCAGCTGCTGTGATCACTGGTCACTGGTCACTGGTCACTGGTCAGTCACAGTGGTCATTTGCAAGGTCTGGAGCGGTCACTGGTCGCCGTCCCGGCTCGGGTGCCACGCTGGCACCGTGTGCTGGTCGTTACTCCCCGCTAGGATCCCTCCCGCTGTTCTGTCGTCGTCACTGCTCCGTCACTGTCGTGACACCCACTTCCGCCCACACTGTGCTCCAAATGTGGATTTCCTCGAGACAAGGCGCGCCACTTAGCCGATATTGGGCTTATCGTGAAGTTTGTGAGTGCTTTTGTTTGACGCACGTCGCCGCCCACCTTCATGCGTTTCTCCCCTCGTATGCCCACTCGGGCCAACATTGGGCATGCCACGTGCTACAGCGCGGTATGAAAGAGGATATATGAAGCACTATAGGGCTCAGAGCTGCAGATCTGATTGACAGGGTCGGTCGGCCCATCAGGCGAGCATGCTGACTGATGTTTTCAAGAAGAACTTGGCACACAACCTATCGGCCAGGAACACAGCGCACCAGTCATTGTCTCAACACAGTCACACAATTGGAATAAGGTTTCCATGTGGTTTCCAGTGCCGGAAGTATTACGAGTTGATGAACACGAAACAGACATTTATCATACAGCTTACTTGGCAGCATGTCCGTCAGTCAAATACAAAGTCCTCGGTTTGAATCAGACGGGTCAAAACGGGAAAGAATTACGAGTCTGTCAGACTGCTTCCTTAAACCAACAGTCATATACAAAGGGGACAAATAGAGCAAACACCTACATGGACTACGTAGACTACATAGACAACATAGAATACGGCATAAAATAATAGGCTATTATGTATACCATCGCTATGTGTGTCACTGGCACAGTTGTAGGTGGGCACAAATGAAATACGTAAGTAAATGAGCCGCTGCTACCATGAGATAGAGCTACGCAGTATACGCTAACTGAGCTAATGGGAGCTACGCCACTGGTATAGTCTGTTTTTTTTTTTTCTAAGTTCGACCCTCACTGTAAACAATAAACATCTTTTTGAACAAAGCACGAGCATTGCTAGCTGAATTACTTAGAAAACTGCCTAGCGCACATTGTACTGGAGATATTAATAATATTTTCCAAGTAAGTTTTAACACCGATGATATCCCTAGTCTGTTAAACGTCGTGCGATTTATTGATTAGTTCAATTATCCTAATTTCTGACAAGTCGTCTTTCCCTGTGGGGTTGTATATATAGGCAAATACAAGCTAGGAGTATGGGAAATAAGAGCCAGGAAGAAACAATTTTGAATAAAATTAATCGTCTGTGAAATCAGTGTGCGCCCATTGTGCCAGTCAGTTTATTCAGCTAACAATTCTAGTGCTGTGTTCAAAGAGACGATTACAGTGAGGGTCGAACTTAAAAAAAAAACGAACTATAGCTGGCTTGGAATCGTGGAAGTCTGTAATAATTAGGCTGGTGCATTTGTTGCATAGAAAAACAGACTAACCTATAGGCATGAGGTACTGGCCTAACGTGAAATAAAGAAGGTCAGGTACGAGTACCCGATCGCGGGTCTGGCAACTGTTATTTTACTACCTAATCTATATTTAGGGGAAGCCGGGGGAAGCCCGGCATAGTAAGCTCTTTTTCATTTTTATTACATACCATACGTGCTGTATAAAATGTTGATATCCTGCTAGCTAGCTAAGTTCATTGGCCGTGTTTTCCAAAAAATTCGGTTTCGTGGAATAAGTATAAGGTTGAGAAAATCGATTTTTAAAAAAGTGTTGATTTTTCTGGGGTAAGCCCGGCATAGGGGTAACGCCGGCCACCTCCCCAGCGCTTTACAACGAGTTGATGAAACCATTATGTGTTTTCCAAATAGGTATTAACGGAAAGTGAAATATTAAGGTACTGATTAGCTCTGGACATCTTAGAGTTTATGTTACTACTGGTATTTTAGCTAGCGTCTACTGCATATACAGTGCAGGTCGATGAAAATCCTGATGCAAAATTGACAAAAAATGTGTATTTCAAAATTCCTTAAAATTTATTTTTCTTTTTACCTTAATGCATCATATTGCATATCATTCGACTCGGCTGATGAAGAAGAACACAACGACACCATTTTTGAAGCTCTAGCGTCATTGTCTGTCGCGTTATCTGCAAAAACGTAGTTTGACCCTAGTTGACCTTAAGTGACATGACTGGCTTTGTCTATGATAACATGTTTATTGTCGAAATTCATCTTTGATCTAGGTGTAAACCAAACCTGCTCAGTACCTATTATCTCATGGAAAACAGTGGTTTAGTGGCATTGCTCTCGGTTGGGGGTAAGCTTGGCCACTCGCCCGGGGTTACCCCAATGTGCTAATTTTTATTTTAGAACATCGATATTCGAAAAAAATGTCATACTTAAGCTAGCCTGCCTCGTCACCCCTCACTACAAACACTTAAACGGTCCTTACATAACATTCGTATAAATATTAGTACTGTATGGTATAACATTAACAGTGCAAGATATCTCACTTTTTAGCTAAAAACCCTTAAAATATCATTTTTGCGCTATAACTTTAACAATATGCAATTTTTGTCAGCCTTAACT